AAGTTAAAAATTATGTAAAAATGCCACATAAAGCTATAGATATCTAGCGTACATTTTGATCTTTCATGGAAACAAGAGTCTACCAAATAAAAGTCCACAAAACGAAACAAAACATACAAAATAGTAGTTACATAGTAATACGACTGCACGGTGCTTTCTTGCACCTAATTAAAGAGCAGCGGCTGTCAAAAGGCTCTTTAAAAAGATAATTGTTAACAATTTGCTTTTGGCGCCACTCGAAAGCCCGCTCCTCTCACTCTAAATCAGGGCCGACGCGACGCTGTGTAACATGAGCAACCAATAAGGAAGAAACATATTGAAGACATGTCAATCAATCACGTTATACATCCCGCTATTTCTATCGACTTTCACTACTCTGTACACGGTATCATTTGATGACTACGCACGATAAAGTGCTTTCTTATCACATTTTACCAGTATAGTTACAGTATAGTTTCTCTTCTTAGTTGCAACGAAGAACTGTCAGAATGGGATAAATAAGTCAATAATTTGAAATCTCGATGATTTCTTAAATATTTTTTTTGGGGGAAAAGGTAAAAGGTGGTGTTTAAATATTTAAAATAAATGAAGACCATAGTTTCAATGAGGCCATTTTTTTCGTTTGTAAGTTCAGAGCCAAATGAACGTATTGCGATGTCCATTCGTTGGATATATTCTGTATGATAAAACAAAATCCAGTTTTTGTTTGCTATTATAAATAACACCTTTAAGAGTTGGAACTCTTAAAGGTGTTATTTATTCTTCTAATCTAACATTTATTTGATTTGAAATCCGATTCTTACATATTCAGAGATCAGATCATAGCTGCTAATTTCGCATTAAATACAATGAAAAAGAAAAAAAATACACAAGGACAAAGACTAATATCACCGTGAATGTTGTAATGTTGGCATTGTCATGTCGCCGTGTGTTGTGATTCACAAGTGTTTACGAATTGCAAAATGTCTTCAAGGTTAGGGCACCGCTAATTGAGTCGCTGTCGTCACGATGAGCTTGGGTAAGTAACATATTGGATGCTATATTTTTCTCGTTCGAAATTAAAAATAATTTTATTTAAAAAAATAATAACCACAAGGAGGCGTCGTTGTAGTTTTACTCTAACGTTCAGAATGATTGGTTTTATAAGTTTTTGTAATATAAAGAGGTGTCTGAAACATTGATTTAATACATGGTGCGACGGTGTTCCATATTTTTATCTTAAATTTCGTTTTAACTGGTACTACTAAACGCAGCACTTTTTCATTATTCGCGGGTACTAAAAACGACGTCGCGGGTAACAGGTAGTTATTAATAAGAAGTACAGAAGTGTCTGGTAGAAATATTGAAATCCAGGCCACATAAATCGACGTAGGAGAGCTTCAGTACAAACGGGCTGGCGTGATACCACGGCCTCACAGTAAAACCATCAAGTTAACCAATCCTTCATTGTTTTTAACCAAGTGAGTCAAGTTACTAGAGCCCAAACCCCTCCTTCCATTCATTTAGGAGAGGGGAGGGAGGATTTAAAGGGCGGTAAAAACTTGTTACTTGAGTTACAGCTGTCCATGGGCGGAGGTAGGAGAGGCCTATGTCCAGCAGTGGACTGCGATAGGCTGATGATGATGGGCGGCAGTAATTACTTACCATCAGGTGACCCGTCTGCTCGTTTGCCCTCGTATGTTATAAAAAAAATGCTACAGAACTGCAACGAACCTGTTCGATACTCGAGGTGCATAGACAGAGTGCATCGGCCGACTTGACTTGACTTGAAAGCAATGACTTTCTCAATGCACATACTTTGTTTAAGGTCTCATATGCAACGACTGGTAGACGTATTACAAAAGTACTCATTTAAATACATTCTATTTACTAATGTTATATCCATATTTTATACTAAACTAGCTCGTGCTCAAGAATTCGTTCACGTGGAATTTGAAGAGCGCTGCTTTAGTGGGTTCGATGCCCGGACCGGGCAAAATTTAATAGGATTTTTCTGAGAGAAAAAAAGTCTAACTTACTCTAGTTAATATTATCAAAATCGGTTAAGCCATTTTGTAGATTACCCGGAACAGACAGATAGACAGACAAAAATATTTAAACTGTTTTTTTAGGCATAGGTATCGTGTAAATAACCGTGTGAGCATGAAAAAAAAACCTATTATTTTGACATTACAGGCACTTCAATTTTATTTATTTGTATATATGTGAACATGTGAGTTTGTCTTTTTTGTTACGCTTTCACGCCTAAACCACTAAACCGACATTATTAGCGAGTAACATAGGCTATTTTTACCACGGTAACTGACATACACGCGGGCGGATCCGAACTGGTACTAGCATAATGGGTTGAATGAGTTCCAAAAAAGTATCACCAACTTTAATGCGTCTATATCACGATTTGTAATGTTTATTATTACCTATTTGTTTGTATTATTTGATTGGGGACAAACGGAAAGTCTAGCCTTCCAAATACAAAAAGAATTTTCTAAATCGGTCCAATAGATGACGTAGGGTCGCCATGCCGCTTACTACTACGCCAAACGCTGAGTGTTGTGGATTCGCTCCCGTAATCCATAAATTGTTGTTCTAAGCCAGGGCTTTTTTTATGTATGTTTGTAAAGTCCCCGCGATACAGGATAAAAACGGGAGTTGTCTGTTTAAAATAATAAAAAATATAACGAAATTCTTAGGTTACAAACAATATATACATACATACAGATTGCACGGATGGCGTAGTGGTTTAAGCGGTCGCCACGCCGCTTTCTATTGCGCCGAGTGTTGTGGGTTCAAACCCCACATGGGATAACACTTTGTGTGATCCACAAATTGTTGTTCTGATGAGTCTGGGTGTACTTTGTGTCCGTTTCATGTATGTTTGTAAAGTCCCCCGCGACACAGGATTTATTCCTAGGGCGGGAGCTGTCTTTTTAAAAAAAAAAAATACGAATTAAGAAACTTCTTCTTTTTTGAAGACGGTAAAATTAATGTTTTATACGATAAGATATTACGATTTCGTCAGTACACATTTTGCAATGAGAGGAACTTGCAATAACATGTACAAATTGGCGTTAAGAGTTATAAACTGAAAGCAGTTATCTACTTTGTTACATCTTTGTGTTAAACTAGGTGTTGCATTAACCAAAATGCAACGGTTATGAAATAAACAGAAATTACTATTTGCATATTCTATGATGTCTTTCCACCTTTTTTTTTGCTGCGCGGAACTCCCCTCGCATACCACCCACCAGTAGGTGATTATGTCGAACTCGAACCGACTAAAACCGCACGCCGTCTCCAGGTACCAGTAGCCGGGGAACCAGGTATACCCTAGCCCTGGGAAAGCCCTGGTACCCCGACGTACCTCGGGCCATCTACGGCTTATAGATGACCCTTCCTGTGTGGGCTGGTGAACCTGGATGTTCCCTTCCTGCCCCCGAAGGGCGTGCGAGCTCCGTAGCGCGTCGCGCCACAAATCACACCGGGTCTTTCCAACTGAGATACGCTATATTGTTAACCTTACCAGAATTTCGTACCAGAATAGCATACATATCTTAGCATTGGTACTTTGTGGGAGAGCGGAGTGACAGCGGCTTTACAGATAACTTGGGTTAAGTAATTAAGAATTCTTTGTTGCTTTTCACTAATAAATCGTTTATTCGAGTAACATTTGACTTGTTTGGTTAGTAAAAATAAATATTCTTACAAACTATGAAATTAATAATAAATATTCTTATTAACTATTACTCTTACTTTATTCTTACTTATTCTTTATTACTTATTATTATCTATATATTTTACATCATGTTTGTATGTGAATCCTTTTTTTTTTTACGTGTGGAAATCCCCTCGGCACGTCACCCCACCGGGGTTTGCGGTGGGGTGGTGTGTCGGGCTCGGACCGACTAAAACCACACGATGTGCCACTCTGCGCCTGTAATAGGCGGGATCCGGGAACAGCTGTTATTAAGACATCCGGACCCCTCCTAGCGCCGGCCCGCTCCTGTTGCGGGCTCCGTCTCAAATATTTTTTTTTTCCTCTCTTTAGGCGACGTCCGGCACACGCGGACGCCGCCTCCTCGCGGCTGGCCAAACTAATACGGGTGGAGGGGAAACCCACCCCGTCCACCCGCGGCCACAATCAGGGCGGCATGAGGCGCAGGTGAGCGCGCCTCCGACGCCCGGTTCGCCCTGTTTGTGAATCCCTACCACAACTTCACAACCGAGGTAGAATGCTTGCAGCAGCGGTTTATATACACACAGTCGAGCCTGCTATCAATGCAACGTAAAATGCTGTTAATGCAACTAAAAAGGCGGTAATGCACTTGTGTCTACGGATGACGGTAGTCACTTATCAGAAGGCCAATTCTCGTAATAAAAGTTCGGTCTTAATTGCCCAAGTGTGACTTTACTACGAAAATACCAAAGTTGATTGGAACTGTGGGCCAAGTGCCAGTTTATTTCACATCTACTTGATCGTCGAGGCCACTATCGGTTGTAACTTATACACTAGGTATACTAGGAATATCTAGTATTACCCATCAGTGTCCAGTAGCGTCAAGTAGAATCATGAGATAGAAGGTACACTATTATCTCTTGATTCCTGTAGTAACTTAGTATACTTAGTCATTAAAGAAACCGTTTTCTATGCATTTAAAAAAAAAAAAGAAAAAAAACAATCTTACAACCAGTTAACGGTATGTTGGTTAAATATTTGTTTTGTTTAGTTGGCATAATGAGTTGTTTAGTAAAGTTGTTGTTTAGTATACCCCAACATTACTCTTTAAACATGATCTTACCTAATCCGGTGACAATTTAAAAAAAATATTCTACAATATTTTTTAGGCAATATTATACCACTATTAAAAATTGCAAAAACTAAACATTGGACTCGCGATCAAATTGCTGTAGAATATTTTTAACGCCTAAAACATAACTTGGATTGAAGTTAATGAAAATACAGTTATCAGATTAAAATTTAACTATAATGATAAAACACGTCTTTATTGCTTTAATTTCACTTTTTCGGTCGCAAGCGCTAGTTTTCGAATATTACACAGACAACCAGCTGATGCTTCTTGTAAAATTGGGTCCTTCGAGCCGATCGTTTCTAAAAGAAATTGTACTACTCCAGCCTGAAAAAAAAAAACATATTTAAGCAAGTGTTTGAATTATTTTAACAGAACACAAATTTTATGTTGGTAATATTATTTCTGACTGGTTTCGCCAGTACCCAATCACGTAAGGTTCTTATTCCATAGAGTGTTTAGAACTAAAATTTTTTTTGTTACATAAACTTAACTAAGAGATAGTAAGTATTTATTGCAATTGTCTATGCAACTGCATCTATCACCAGAACGTTTTACAAACAGCATAAAATATGTACATTAAGATTAGACATCGACACCCAATATGAATAACATTGTAACTTTAATTACGCGTTTGTACAACTTTATCACCTATGAATTCAGCAAAGTCAGACTTAATTTTCTGTCTTTGAATCATATTTCTATGGCAATAACAACTATTTTTGTGAAACAATATGATTTCATTGTAATTGAAAATTAATAATGTTACTTCCTATTCCTATTATATTATGTTTAACATATTAGTAATTATACATTTACATCAAGAACTAGTTACATAGTTATATCTAGATATTACAATAAAGATTTTTTATATTAAAACTACTCGTCTAGTGACAATCTTATAATACAAGTAAATCACCTCCACTACCTTAACACTTAGGATCGCTAACCATTATATCAACAGGTCAGTCATTAGGATACTCACGTTAAAATTACAACATCCTATTTACTTCGGTGGTTAAAGATACTAAAATGTATCTGCATAACTTGAAGAAACATTCAATGTACAATTGCAAAAATTCCGCAACAAAGCTTTCATGGTTTTTTTTTTTTTTAAATTATAGTTTTCAAAAACTAAAAAACACGCTTTCTATAGAAAACCAAACTAAAAAATAGAAAATAAATTGGGTTGGGTGCCTGTTGTCAATAGTAAAAAGAACAAGACGCTTTTTTTCAAATTTATTTTCTATTTTTTAGTTTGGTTTTCCATAGAAAGCGTGTTTTTTAGTTTTTTAAAACTGGAATTTTTTATTTTTAAATTAGTGTATTGTCATCGGTCTTCGATATATCTACAAAGTTTGAACGAATTCTGACCGTTTAAAGTCAGTCAAAATCACGCCCAAAGGAGTCGGTTACAAACATACAAAAAACATACAAGTGAAGCTAATATAAAGCGTGTAAAAATATATGGATATTTTGTTTAAGCAGCCTAAATTAGGTATTTACGTCAGTACTTATTTATGGACCAATTTGTACTGTACCAATATTTGTTTTAAGTATGCGAGTTTGTTAAAATAACAACGTTTAGAATAATGGGACTCCTTACAGGGAATGCTTAACTAACAAAGATTTTGTGTCACTTTGTCTATTGACACAAATGTTTGTTAAGGTGATGTTTGAAAAGTAAATAAATACTCCGTTTTTAAAAGAGGTTAGTGTAGTATGCTAAGTTTACGTGTATGCTTGAATACCTAACTAAGAATAGCTCTTTTGAGCTTATCGTTTGTGTATGTACTCCATAGATTACATGTTTTTGGCATATTATCCCATTTACTTTTTATTACCCATTTACTTGTTAAATTTATTTTAATCTTCCATTTATATTTTAGTGTATTTTACAATTGCAATGCCCGACTGGGTAACTATTGAAACTTGGCCTACTACAAAACATCTATATATGTAACACAGTTTTTTGCAATAATTGTCTTTGTCTTTAAAATACATAATGTCAAATTACGTACGGTACCAGAATTCACACAAAGTTTTAATAAGGCGAATAAAAATGAGAAACAGGTATTGCTAAAACTCATCTCCGTTAAACCTCAAACTTATAACATTAAGGAACACTTGAAGAAAGTTTAAAACAAAAATAAAAAAAAAAAAATTCGACTTACCGCATGCATAGTGACGCAATTCACGGAGTAGAACGACAAATGATAGAGGGCAAGAGCAGTGGACCTATGTACTACAGGATCCCGTGACGTCATATAGTTGACCAGCGGGGTGATAGCGCCTCGTTTGCCGAACTCTTGGCGATTCTGTGCCCAGTCGCAGCAGTAGGCAATCGCTACACCTAAATTGGCTCTTAGGTGGTCATCCGTTGTGTTTACTGTCAAAAAAGTATAGTAACTTGTGATGTTAAACAAAAAGAGTTATCGAATCTATTCTGTTACGTATTATTGCATATAATAATAAATCATCTAGTGAATCAGTAGCCAATAGTTAAAACTGGAACGCAAACTAGACGTGGACAAATGGTCATATCTTCCAGGCGTGTTTGAACTTCAGGTATGCTTTGGGAATCCTCTTTTACTACAGAACACTGTTCAAAATTATGAATGACGATAAGATTAAAAAGCTTAACCACCCCCGGTTAGAAATAATAGCTATCTAGCTATTATTAACTAGCTTTCCAACTTAAGTGATAGGTACGCTAAGGAAGAATTTCATTGAAATAACATCAAAATCACAAATCATCTATTTGAATAATTTTTAATAAATTTTATATAGTATGTTATGTAATATGTTCCTGTACCTTCCTGTCAACTTCCCTATGTTCAGTGTGTCCCTTCAGAATGATTGGTAAGTAAAGACTTACCTTATCTTTGTGTTATGGGACACACTGAACATACGGAAGTTCAATTAAAAAAAACAAGGAAATTAGTGTATGGTCTTGCCGCATAGTGATGTGTTAAAATGTATTCATTAAAATGTAAAGGTGTCAAGAGATATACCCATTAGAAGCTTTCAAGGGCATTATAAATTTTTATTTCAATAATTAATTAACACTTCATAAAAGCAATATTTTCAAATCAAAAACTTGTTAATGAACACCTTCCGTGAAGAGTCACCTCGAATTTAAAAACGCGGCACTGTTAGGAGTAAACGGTAAAACTTTTTTTTCATCTATTCGTCATCAGGCTCTGACCCTAAATTACTAGACTACTTCTGCTTCAATGCCCGATAACTTGTTCTTTTAGAAGCACGTTTCAAATTAGCCACCAATCTATCCGACTAACGGTAAACGATAGGAGATAACCAGACGCTTTTATGTGTACGATTAATTGTGACATTTAATAGATTTGACGACCGGATGGCGTGGTGGTTTGTGTAACGGACTGCTATTCCAAAGGTCGCGGGTTCGACTCCCGCTCCTCCGCATTTGATTTGGTCTGGGTGTTTCTATGTATAATATGTATGTATTTACAAAAAAAAAGTGTAAATGTGTTTATATCAGTTGTCTAGTATCCATAGTACAAGCTCTGCTTAGTTTGGGACTAGATGGCGTTTTGTGAATGTGGTAGATTAATTATTATAAATTTATTTATTTACATTTATACTAGATTAGATTTACACCTTATGATTAATACTCACCAAGTTTAGAAAGCTTAGCAACTACGCCATGGTCAGAAATCACAGCCAGGTTCTCATTATCTCTGGCTATTGTTGCAATAGCAGCGCAGACGGCAGATAATACATTTTTATCGTCTGAGTCTAATAAGTCTACTGTGAGTTCCAAAGCACCTACGAAAGATCTGACCATTTCGCCAGAATCAGCAGCATTTTGCACACAAGGGCTCAATGCTAAAGCGGCATTTGTCTGGACTCGCTTAGAGTCATTCTTGAGCAATGACCAAATCAGTCTGACACCGTCCAACTCGTCAATTTCCGTCATACACAGTGGCTCTTTTGCGCACTCCATTAAAACTAAAGGCACGTTTTCCAACAGAGGTTTGTAGGTATTATTCAGATGGTGAACTGGAAAACAAAATTATTTTAAAGAGCAAATTCAATAACACCGCCAAAGTATGTTATACTACTTACTTAGCATTGGTATTCCTCCAGAGCTTTTTATTTTTTCTCTGTTAGGTGGATACTTTGCACATTCAGCCAAGGCGCCAGCCACGTTAGTTAATACTCCATCGTTTTCATCGTCTAGGAGATTAACAAGGATGGGGACGGCTCCAAGATAGTCTAGTCTTCTGACACTTTCATCACTATTAGCACATTTCCACAGAGCACCAGTAACTGCTGCCAATAAAGGCTTATTTGGCCTGTTCGTAGAATCCGATGCGGCTTCTACTAAAAGCTCTAATCCTCCAGCATTGCGAATCATGTCCCTCGTAATTGAATCACTCGCGCATTTATAAATCGCTAAACTGCAGTAGGTCTAAAACATTGTAAATTTAAATTGTTGTCATTTTTATTCAGTAACATATTGTACAATAAACGCGTTATATTGAATGTTTGTATGACCAATAGTTTTGGCCTTCGTCAGTCTATCAGTGGAGTGTTCTACTGTACCTTTAAGTCTTTATCTGGGTTAGCTAAATGCGTTATCAGGTCATCTACCATCTTCTCCGTCTGTATAGCTAACTGAAATGATGTCTCATTTGCGCACATTTGCAGTAATCCTATCGCTGGAATTGCAACATCCAGATGTATTGTTTTCATCATTTTGGCTATAAGTGGAATCATACCATACTTTCTCATTGCCTCGCGATTTCTTTGTGACGCAGACATTGACCAAAGAGCCTTAGCTCCCGCTCGTCCAATGTCCAAAAATTGTTCCTCATCTGCATTTAATTCCTCGCGAGGTGTCAATAAATACCTAAAATAAATAATTAAATATAAATGTTACGACAGTTCGACTTTACCTTGAAACAGATATGCAATTCTTACGATTTCTTTTTTTTTTCAAAAAAGTAGTTTAAATTAAGCGTAGAGCATTTAAAATAGATTAACTAGCTATTTCAAGCATGCAAACTTTGATAAAGCCAAAAGAACAATTCTAGACCTTTCCTTAATATCAAGCAAATCAATTAATTTCGGAATGCCACCAAATTTCCTACAAAATTTTCTGCTCTTTCTTATCCTCCCCAGATTAGCTATTGTTTCGGCTGCAAGTATCTGAACATCCCTCGCTGGGTCTGACAGTAATCCCACCAACAACGGTATAGCACCCAAATCTGTGACCTTCTTTCTGATTTCTATATTCGGCGTTATATCTCTGAGAACAGCTAATCCTCCCAAAATACAGCACAGATCTCTAGTTTCTAATAAATTGACGAGAAGTTCCAGACCACCAATTTCTTGAATTGCTCTTTGGTTCACCTCTATCGTTAGATCGTGGTCTTTCAAACAAGATAGCGCGACCATCGTGGCCGTCTGATTGCCAGCTTTCATGTACTTCACCAACTTCTGTATGTGCCAGTATTCTGGAGGTATTTCTGTGGACTTAATGAGGTCAGCCCAGTTGTCATCGTCTGGAGAGGTAGAAGAGGGTGAGGATAACGAAGTGTCTGACCCTTCCGTTACCATCACAATTCGAGGGAGACCCACAGTGTCTTGACCTCCATCCGCACTAAATGTAGAAATATTATCATCTCCCATGATTTAAATAAAACACAAAAACACACTACCAAAGAAAATAGTTAAAATATTTTGATTGCACATATGACTCTGATTTTTGCTACGTCAATATGGTTGCTAAGCAATATTCGTTAGTTTGATTGTTTCCGTAGTGAAGTGTACCGTATAACGTAGTGTTTGTATACTCTCTGGTTTATATACTCTTTAAGTTATGAAAGAATGCGTTATAATTATATATTTTATTATTAACAGCAATATTGCTAATGCGAGTGCTTGTTGTTGTCTTTTAACTTAACAACAACGCAGTAACGTAGTGACGCAGGATTTCATTCAAGCTGATGTTAGAATCAGTGTACTCTGATGTAAACACAAAGTACAGTCAGCTCGAAAAGTTGTTTATCCCATTCATAATATATGTCCAAAAATACGAATACGATTTGAAAAGTATTAAAAATATTATACAACTCAAACAGAAAATTAATTACGATCATTGGAAATGAGTGTTATCATTGGACTAAACTGAAAAAACTGATAACTTGCAATGGAAGTCATCAGGAAAAAAAATTAGTCAGCTTTTGAATAGATCCGATAGTTTTATTGACATGTTTTTTTCATTGTTGCAGTTTCGAAGAAGTGTCAAGGATGTGATGAAGCAAGAACATAACGATCATTACTTACTACGATGGCTCAGAGGTATGTAAGTTTTGGTATGGTTTGGTATGTTAGTTTATGTAAGCATATGTCCTATTCCAGACTATAATCTATCACACCACGCACCAAAGTTCATCCAGCCGTGTTCAGCCGTTATTGAATGCATGATTGAATAACAAATATCCGTCCATACATCCGGCTTATCCGAACTTTCACATTTATAATATCAGTACAGATGATTGAATTATTAAAACTTAGGTTCCTAAAGTTTTTTAGGCAAGTTAGATGTTTGAAAATGTGGCTTACCACATATGCGATTCCTGATAAGCTCGGAAACATTGTATAATAAGTACTCATTAAAATAAAACTGTGTAGTTGTCCGTGCAGTGCCGGATTAACAACACGGATGTCACCACCCCTATTTATCCCGTGGGTGTCTTAAGAGCCGACTAAGGGAGCAAACTACGCAAGACAACAGCACAGCAAGAGAAGGAAAACTTGCACAAACCCTATTCTAACCCGTCTGTCCAGCGTGATATAGTAGGACAAATCCTTCTTTCTAAGGAGAAAACCTATGTCCAGCAGTGGACTATTAGAGGCTGTTAATAATTGATGATGATGAGTTAAAAGCCTATTTTCCCTATAACAAGCTACCATTGAATCAAATATATGTACTTGGATTATATTTAAATATTAACCGACTTAAAATGGTTCTTAATTCGACTTTATTACTCTAAATTGCTCAATAATCTTTTCATTTTGTATCTCACTGTTAAGATATAAGAGGTGTCTGTCCTCTTCGGCAGACCCGCATCGGCAGAGACATAAGGCTATATAATAACACTTTCAGAAAAATAATCAATCGATTATTTTTAAATGTAATGTACATTAAGACACGCCAGTTGGTAAGTAAAACTGCCCGTTGTAGTTTGCCTGGTTAACGACCTGAGGGAAACTGGGAGTACCTAGGAAGGTTCGAACACCAACCAGGACTGAGATATATTTGATCGATTAGACGCCATATATAATAATATAGATATTACATGCATTTAGTAATATATAAAGTTGTGTATCAAATATAAAAATATTAAATATGATATTAAGAAAATTAATATACGAAAATTCAACATTTCTCGGTTTATTTTCCAGCGAGGCAATGGGATCCAGTCGCAGCGGAGAAAATGCTGAGAGATGTAAGTAACTATAGACTTCGTTTTATGTACAAATGAATTTAAAACGTAACGCCTAATTATAATCATAGTTTATATGTGAGCTGGTATATAACATTTATAGATGTATTACTGTATTATGTACTGATAAATAGTTTTTTTATGTAACGCGGGAAACCTCACCACCTAAACACAGCTGGTTTCACAATGATTAATTTATGTATTTGGACATCATAGACGTCTATTCGAAATATAATCATACCGATTATTTTTCATTATCCACCAAATGAAGGTATTATAGCATAATAGATCAAGTGTCATCAGGAAATTACAAGAACATATAGTTACCCCCTAGATATGTCTATGAAGATTACATACAATCGACGTTGGTAACGTATCTACCTCTTGTTTCTATATAATTACAATACATTGTTGTGAACAAGGCAATAATTACTCCAGACCACTTGAACTGTTCTTACCTGTGCTTACTCTATACTTAGCCATCTAAGTATAGAATAATTAATTATAATTATTTTATTATTGTACGAATCTAATAAGTATTCATAATAAGAAGGTAATAATTATCTACGTATTTCATTATTTGTACTTTTATTGAAATACTACAAAGAAACAATGTTTTGACGTGAAACATCTAATGTGACTGCGAAATATATATTAAATAAACAATCATCTTTTTAAGTAAGACAAGTAAGGTACTAAATTAAGTGATAAAAATATCAATACGAATACCAAAATTTATATCTGAGGTTTGGAAAATTCGATATTTATGTCAAATGTTTTAACGTAATAGGTATTGTAGAAAATTAAAGAAAAACGAATCATAGAATTTTATTGAATAAAAATAAAGAAATTTTAGAAATAAATATATCTAATAAAAGTAGGTAAGTACAACTCATTTTCTGAGTGTCGTGTCCACAGAAATCGTAATAATAAGACACTAGAAATGAATTAGCGCCCGATTCCTTCCAACACCGATGTCGCCACATCTTAAGACATGCACAAAATACAAACAAATATGTAGATAAAACACACTTGCAAAACCACGGTGCAATGTATAGGGCACAAACTATTATGAACCTTAATCTTCAGGAATTACATTGCATTTTACTCCACTGTATTGTGGCACCACTACAATCTCTTTCGATGTGTATGTGAGAATCCCTCTAAACAATGCTAGGGATTGACTATATTTTTCTAAGGTGTCGATATTTTTTTTTATTAAAATGGATTACAAGTAGCAATGAAAACCATAGAAATATGGTTCTTTTTTTATATTTTAACAGTAGTGATACTATTAATAAATAGTACCTATTATTTATAATCAAGCTATCCATTAACAGTCAAATACTAATCCAGGTTACACCGTACACTTAAGAAACAATTAAAATTAAAAATATCTAATAAAAAAGAGTTATTAAAAAACCCCAACAGGTAAAGTGATATTTAAAATAAATATTACAGTAAAATAAAAAGCGACCATATATTATATAAATCGATCCATAACACACCATAAGCAATGACCGTTGAGAGAGCATGGCGATCCTTAACACAAACTCACAGAAACAAAAAATTTATATACCTAATAAGCTACTACTGAACAAATAGCTCATTCACGTAAAAATTAGATTTATATTAATGTAGAAACATTAAGAAGCAAGTAATAAACAGAGTAGTTTCCTATTTTTGTCTTATTATTACGATTTCTATGGTCGTGTCATATTTACTGACACGAAAAACAGTTCGTAGTGAACAAACACCCTGCCAACGGCTTGGTAAATAAAAATATTAACAAAATAACTGGTGTCCGAGAACATTCGAGTTGTTGGAGTTCATAAAAATAAGAAGTTTGCAAGTAAAAAGAAACTGTTTTAAAAATATGGATTCGGAATTTAAATCTTTTCTAAATACAATTTAAATATCAAAATTTTACTTTAATTTACTTGTGTTGTGTATGTCGCTCCAAGTGGTTTTACACATACTCGTAGTAGTTTTAAAATCGCAATGTCAGCAGTGTTTATTCAGAACAGCACTTATAACCAAGGTCATGTGTAAGTATTACACACGTGCCAAACATATTAATAGCGAGAACAGGTCTGTATTGAATAATCAAACAACTTCCGAATATAAACTAGAGAAAGTTCATCGATCAGTACAATAGGTTAAGGTTGAAAATAGATAAAATCGAATACAAAACTGGTTTTACCGCGTTTTTTATTGCTTTAAATTAGTTTCCTACATTAGTGATGATTGGAATCATAAAAATAAATTGGCTTAAAGTATTTAAATTTGGAGAGAAAGTATTAGAATGAGAGACTTAGATTCGGAGTGAATTGGCGACCTAATTTCTCGTGGACTTCCATCCTAAGATATACCTCCTCTCTGTCTCTTGGTCTCTTTCAATAGACCTACCTGTGACGGAACACCGTGTTTTTAGTCAGTTTGATTTCGACATGCCACTTCCTGGTGAGGTGACGGCGTTTCAAACGAAAAAAGTACTAAACCACGCGCCTATTTAATCTCAGGAATGAAAAACATATTTAAAAAATGTATCTTGGACCATTTATACGCTAATTGAATATTTGTATACTTTATTTATTTATTTATACATCATGCACTTTTTTGTGCATTGAACTTAATGCCTAGGTAATGCATTCTCCACCAGTCAACCTTTGAGTGATGCAGAGAAAACAGGAAGTAGGTGCTTTAGTATTTTGGTTTACCACGGTTTGCAATAAAGTTACCGCATAATGAAATAAAACTTGAAAAGGGGTGACTAGAAACTTTAGTGTATTTTATTTCTATCTTTTTTGTCTGTACAGTTTTTTATTTTCAAGTGTGAGTGTGTAAAATATCGCTTAAGTATGTAAGTTTTTATTGTGAGATCAAACGGTCTAAGTATATATACATTTACTGACTAGAAGATGCATAACACAGTATCATAAGAGATACTTCTATTTTATGAATTTAAACATCACATATGTATTACTTTTACTAAACATGTTGTTTTGAAAATTATAGGCGCACAAGAATTTATACTATCAAAGCAACTACTGAAGTCACTAATTTATATAAAAATATAAACACAAATTTCCTTACGTTTAACGGTATAGTTAAAATTGTTGTCTACCAACCTCCATTTATTAATTTATTGCAAAGTTAAACCATATAAGGTCACAGTTATGTGAACAAATCGCTTATATGTTTGCTATCTGTGTAAAATAAGGTAGAAAATAGTAATTATACAATTTAAAAACGGCGTGAGAGGTCGATGGACCTACGGTCGGAACAAAGTTCCGCAAGAAGTGTCACATTTCTCGGTCTCGCTCCCATCCGCTTAGAGGAAGTGTATAACGGATAAGGAACTACGTAAAACACAAGAATTATTCCATGGTATGTTGCAAACAGTTTGCTCCTGTCACGTTCTGTCAAATGCAATGCCTGTCAAATTCTGCAAAATAAAAAAAGGTTGAAAATTAAGGTAAATTTTGGTACTTACAAGTTTTCGCGAAAATCGAAATTTGCCCATATCTTTTTATCGTGTCAATCAAGCTCCTGAGTCAGGAGCTTGATTTTTATACACCTAATAAGGACTATAGGCCTTAGTATCTGGTATAAATTTCAACCAACTACCCGTTGAAATGTGGTGACACACGGACAAGAAAGTGATCTTATAAGGGTTCCATTTTTACCTTTTGAGGTACGGAACCCTAAAATATAAAGATCTAAAATATTCAATAACGTCACCACCACCAAAGAGTTTGAGGAACTCTTTCAGTTATAAAGCTATAGGCTGCTCCACAACTGGGAGCATAAATTGCTGTTAGTATAAAACAACAGAATTTCACAATCGTATCACGTTATTTACAAGAAATCTAAACACTTACAAGTATAAGCGGCCCTTTTCTGCACTATACCAAACCGTTGAATCGTGTTTACCTTCGTAATATCAAGTTGTTCACTGTTGAAATATTATTGAAATCATAAACATGCGCTTAATGACCTACATACAAAAAATTACTATATTATTAACAGTCCCTCTACAATTGTATAGCAGACGACCTTAAAAGCAAAAGTGCAATGTACGCAACTTGAAGACTTGCACAAGTCATTGCAAGTTGGAACCTTTTTGTTTGGAGCTCAGTTTTTGCAATACTTCCAAGGAGACATCTAATACAAGTATAGAATGCTTACCTGATACTTACGAGAACACAACTACAAATATATGATCAAAGTTTTGGAAGATTTTCTATAACAGATGTAAATAGAATACTAGAACAGGTTTTAACAGCTGTTTTGCTTAAATATAAAAAATTATAAGCGAGGTATTTAACATAACATCCTTGGTGAATATCTCTATCCAATATTAAAATATGTAGGTAGTTATCTCTCATCATCTGGATGGTCTGAGACTTTCTCTTCTTGCGGAACTGCGTTCGGACCGGGGGTCCATAGACCTCTCATGCCGTTTTTAAATTGTATTAGTACTATTTCCTACCTTATTTTAATTTAAAGAGAAAGGTTCAAAGACAATGGAAAATATACGGAATCCATCTTAGCATTCGCAGACGATCTGGCGATCCTCACACGTAACCCGAAGCAGTGCCATGAACTACTGCGTAAGGTGAATGACTTCTATACCTGGACGGATGGAATGAGGAAAAAACATAGTAAATGGCCAGACAAAGGCAATAGTGCCTTTGTCTAGCCCGGCGAGGTACCTCATATGACCCCGGGATTACCATTGGCGGGGAAAGTGTTTTAATTATATCAGAAACCGTGCCCTTTAAATTCCTTGGCAGAAAGATAGACTACAAAGGTCGTACTCCATCTATGAACGCAGTTGTCGATGACTTCGTAAAAGACATTGACAAGGTAGACCAACAGCCAATGAGTAACGTAAAAAAAGCTTGGATTTACAACAACTACTTAACATCACGTCTCACTCAACTGCCCGTATCTAGTATACGATATAAACCAGAACCACTTAAGAACACTGGACGCGA